AAGGGGGAAAAAAAAAAAAAAAAAAAAAAAGAATCGATGCAAATATACTTAGGATAATGGACTAAAACTGAAAAAAATTCCCCTCCCTCAGAAAATAAAATGTTAAATATTTGACCTTGAATGTATTGGATTATCGAAATATTCATTTTGACTTATCGTCTAAATCCTAGTTCCGACAACAATTCTGTTGAAAATTCCCAATTACTGAAGCTTAAGTAAAAGGTTTAGTATATATTCACTGTACGTTAATAAAGTAATCAGAGTGTAATAAAAATAGATTATAGAATTTACGCTGATGCAACTTTCTGTCTGAATGCACAACATATAATGGAAGAGAAGGCTTGTAGAGATCTGTTTTTGACATGACTCTAGAAGTAGTGGCCATACTCCTTTTGTCTCTTCCATGCCAAAAAATTTTCCTGAGAGGCAACTTTAGTTTTGGGGAAAGAAAAAAATCACAACATGCAGGACGATTGAGAACGTATACTTATTTTCGGAACAGAAGTTATTCTGTTTCTCTGATTCTGGTTCTCTGATTGGTTATTGTATAAAAGATGCATTGTCATGGAATACAAAACATTTGGATAATGTTTCTGACTGAATAATGTAAGATTAAAAGTCATCTGCTTAATTCTTAGCCATTTACAAGTCAACTACTTGGGCAATTGCAGAATCGTTTTGATACCTGAGCTTGGACAAACCTAATACAAGTATTATTGGATTTAAACAGTTCTTTAATCTTTCGAGAACATTCCTTCTTTAGCACATATCCAACAATCTTAAAATAATTCAACTGAGAAATCATGGGATGTTCCATTTATGATACGATATGATGCTCTATGACGTAATTTAAATTTATACAACCATATAGACGAAAACTAGTCGCTCTTCAATTTAAACTGCAATGATATGGTTTTTGTCTTTTCCGTTACTAACTCAATTGCTGCTATTTTCTGGTGTGCACATCCAAATGTTTTCTCTTTGAACACTCAACTTCCTTGAAGTAGCTTCCCTTTAAATTTATGCTTCCCCCCCCCCTAATTTTCTACATTTGTTTTCAGTGCTGACACAAGAAAATTAAGATTTTCCGATTGTTACATTTCCATAAATTTTTGCATTTTTGTCAAATTTTTTAAAATATTCGTTGCATCAAATGCGTTTCAGCTGACAAGAACTTTTTACGCACTCTCCTCTACGACGGTTCTTCGCTGCACTCCGAAATTGTTATCGAAAAGTTTTGTCTTGCCTCCAACTTTAATGCTATTTTAATACGGACTCTACTTTCTTCATCTAAATCCCTCTCAAAATATGCTTTACCACCTTACCGATTCTCATTATCATCATTAATCGCTACAAACTCAAAATTTTAAGACTCACTGCCATGCTATGCTCAAGATTCGAAAAGTGGATTCATTCGCTATATTGGGATAGTGGTCTGACCCAGGTGTCAACGAGACAAGAGAACTTTTCATTTTCTAGACATTTTAACTATGTTCCTTTGGACTTTGCTTTAAAACTTTATTTAAAGTTTTAAAGCAAAGTCCAAAGGATAAATATTTTAATTAAAAGATTTTTTTTTTTTAATGAAGAAACAAACCACTCTAGCAGCGCGTATACTGTACTACGGAGTGGCTCGATTTTAATGTTGGGTGCAAACAATCTAAATCATATTATTTAGAGTTTTTAGGCCTAATAATTTCTACATTCAAGGACATTTTTTTATATAATCTACAACATGAGAGAAAATTACTACTTAAAACACTCTTTAAGAGGATTTATGTAAAAATTTATATTTATATACAATTTTTTTAAAGCTGGGACATGACCAAAACTTTCAACATCCTGTTTGCTTAAAAACATTGTGAAACATCAAACGAACTTTCTCAGTTTTAGACAATTCAATTTAAATGCAAAGTAAAGTAGCAGACGATAACACGTTGAAATTAAAAATTTACTCTTACAAATATTTTTTTTAAAAGAAATTTTTAAGTTTAAGAGAAAGAAATTTTTAAGTTTGAATAATATCATCTATAATTAAAAAAATAGCTTTTCATATGGTATTAATAAATATTTATTACGCATCACTGAGGGAAAAAATTTCATATAATGAATTCTCCATAAAATTTTATTTGAAATTTAAGATTAAAAATAGCTGTGGCAATTCGCTGTAACAAAAATCCATAAACCACATTTGGCATTATTATCGCTCAAAAAAAAAAAAAAAAAAAAAAAAAAAAAAAAAGCAGCCAAATTTTAGTACGTGAAAATATGTAAATTCAAGTATATCTTAGAGAATTTTGAATAAAAAATTCTAATTTTTTGCAGGTATGCTCAGAACTACACCTACTATAACATGATGGTAAAACTTTTATAGGTTATAATTCAAAATTTTTTTGGAAAATTTATAAAAATTATTTAAAAATAGAAATTTAAAAAATAAAACACAAAAAATGGCTGAATTTATTTGGAATGAACCTAAGTTTCGAAATGTGAAAGAAAGAACAAAAGAAGTTTAATTTAAAAAAAAAAAAAAAAAAGAGATCTTAATAAATATATATGCCAAATTCAATTAACATTGAGAAGCTAAAATTTTGAGAGCTAATTTTTTAAAAACTACTTGTACGATTTTTACAAAAACTTGGCAGTCTGGCATAATTTGAGTCGTAGAATCGAAATATGTAAAAAAAAAATAGCATGTTATTCCAGAAAAAGTCCGTTTTTGGGTCAAAATACCCATATTAGAATAGTGCTATATATAAATCTGATATGTATCCTAAGTCATGCTTTCGAGACATGAAAAACGCAATTTGAATTTTGTCAATCGGCCTAGTAAGAAGGGGAGATATAGAATTGTCCCCCCTTTTTTTGCGCACTGTACATCTTAATATTGTAAATGTGGATGATTTTAACAGTTTGTAATTCTTTTGTTTAAATTTGCAGAAGTTACGGAAAAAAATGTGGAAAAAAAAAAAAAATCAATTGAAGACATTCATATAATTTAAAACCAATTTTCAAAGTTTTCAAGGTTTGCTACAAGAGTATAAAATAACATTAACTGAACAAGAAATTGGATGGGATCAAAATGCTTGTTATCAGCTGGATTCATTACAATATGGTTTGGAAATATGTGTCAGCAAAATTTTTAAACGTATATTTCTCTGTGTAGAGTATCTCTACTATCTATTTAAGTATTTATACCAGTGGTTTCAAACCTTTTTACAATCTCCATCCCCCTTTAGCCCATACTGTGGCCCCTAATCCCCTGGAATATTTATTTTATAATATGTTTCGATCCCAGTTTTTCAGCAAACCTGTAACTACAAATAAATATATTAACAATAATAATAATAATAAATTAAGGATGTCACACTTTTTTTAAATCTCTAATTTGAAGACCACTGATCTATACAGTTCCTGGATACTACATGCTAAATAATAATAATAATAAACCTTTAAATGAAAACATTACATTTTTCTACATAAAAATTGCTTGAAATCAGGGTTTCTCAAACTATGGATATTACATAAATTACATTCTATTTGGTGTTACACTGAAGCCTTAAATTAATATAAAATTTTCCCTTTTGGTATATATTTTTAATTTTTATTTACATGGTGCAAAATTTAAAAATTGTGAGAATCCCAGCTCTAAATATTTAAATTTCCTAAATGTGAAAAATGTAAATGAAGAAGTTTCATAAAAGAGAAATTAGAATTTTTAATAAAAAGTGCAACAGTTTCTGGATCACAAACTCAGAAAAAAAAAAAGAGACAAGTGATGAAGAACTGATCTGAAAGGCTTGAGAGAAATAAAAAACTCACTACCATGAAATTTACACATGTAAACACCAAATGAATGGAAATTTGCATATTATGAAGTCTGTCATGTACTGGTCAGGTAAGATTTTCTCTGTCATTCTGGCTGTTAAGATAGGGCGATAGTGATAGAACTAAACTTGTACCAACATGGTTTGCTTGTAAAGATGTACTGTTGTTGCAGTTTAGTCTAATATGGCAAAACAAATGACAGCTATCATCCCACACAAAGGATGCTTTCATGGAAGAATTTTGATGAAAAACTGGCTCATATTCATGTTATAACATGAGGAAGAAACCACATGGAAATAACCATGCAACCAGCCCATTCATCTAGATTCAAACCTGGATTGATACATTTTTATATACAGAGGTTTTGTCCTCTTGTCCACTGAGGGTCTTTCTAGTAAGGATGAGCTGTCTAAACAAATGTTAATATGTCTAAACAAATGTTAATGATTTTACTCCAAATGTGATCTTCTTTCTGTCTAAAAATGAGAAACAATATTATACGTTAAAACATAAATAAAAGTCGGAACTTTTGCAAATGACCCGTCTGGAGCTGAAATAGATGTGTTGATTAGGTCTTGTCTTCTTTCATTGCTTTCTGCAGGGTTGCTGTACTCAGAACTTATGTCCAGATGGGTGGAAGGTTAAAGGAAGATCTCTGTTGCCAATTTGATGAATGAGATAATCTAAATTTAGATAAATTAAAAAATGGGAAATTTGGAGATTTATTGAGAGATATGATCAAAAATTGGAAGTTTCTCAGTTTTACCTGAATTGGCAGCACTGTCTTTAACTTAAAGTCAAAGACAAGTAATTGTTCCCCCCTCAAAGGATGCTTTAAACTTGCCGCCTCCTAGGACACTATATGAACTAATAACGGTATTTAAAGAGAATTAAATATTCTTCTCACAAAACCTTTTTAAAACTCGTTTATAGAGTCTGATTTGAGTAGCTGATTTTACTCACTCAAAAACTGGATAATTTTAGTACTTCAAAAAGGTACAGAAATATGAAGATTTTGTGCAAATTTCCTGTTTTCAGCAAAAAAGTAATGAAAGCCATGATTATTTCTATCAATTATTTTCTAATTCTTCATTTAATATTATAACATTTTTTATAAGACACAATAAAATATATAATCTTTTATTCTTATGTTCCATAGTAATGTTACTTACTTCTCAATAGGTACAATTTCAGAGTTTCCATAATCCACATACAACACAACAGCTCCATCTGATGTTAAATCAGTTATTTCACAACGATACCAGGCATTATCATATGAATACTTGGCACAGCAAGGCATACCTAATAAAGAAACCAGATGGGAAATGAGCATTATTTAACAGTCTAATCCAAATATACATTGCTTTATTATTCCAATATCAAAAACAGAAAAATTTTGGATTTCAAAAATATAAATTTTTTAACTTGTTCTTTAAACTTGAATTTTATACCTGTAAACTTATGTATACTAATATATATAGACTAAATAGTATATTAATTCTGTTAAGACACTTTAAAATTGTTTATAAAGTACAAAGTCTGAGTTCGGACATCCAATATCCAGAACGATCTAAAATCAGGACCTTAAAGCCACCAACAAAAAAAATTTTTTTAGGAATTTTTTTATGCTTTACGCATGAACATTTGATTTTTCCCCCATAATAAAACATTTGGAGAATCCCAATTTTTAATTTCACTTCACCACTAAATAAAATACCTTATTGAAGAAACAATACTTTAGTATAAATTTGTGCCATCAATAATTTAGCTCTGTAGTTGCGGATCTGCTTGGCATACATCGCAAACTGAAACATTCTACACAGAATCTCTGCTGATTTTACAACTACTAATATTTTATATCACTGATGCCAGCCTGGCGAATCATTATTTATTATATTTTGCTTTCCTCATCACATGTTTAAAACAGATGACAACTTAAGTAATGACTCATGCAGCGATGCCTAAATGATTTAATTATATTAGTAACTGAATAACAAAGTGTATGGAAACTTTTATGTTGCCATTATGCTTCCGATGGTTACAGATTTAAGTTAAATGCACTAAATGTTGACAAGGGAAAATTACTGGAGAGAGAGGGAGAATAATTTTTAATTCACCTAAAACTCAGAACCGGCATATAGCTTGTAAGGCTGCACCGGGCAGCAGAATTTAGAGAAGCTCTGAGTAACAAAATTAAGGGATGATAAAATTTTTAGATTTCAGGGAAAGCACTCGGACCCAAAATTTAGGACTTACGGAGTTGCTTGGCAGAAGAATTTAGGACCCGCAGAGATTACATCAGATGACAAAATATCTAGCGCCAGTCCTCAGTAAGCTTAAGTATATGAAGGAATTTAATTTATTCAGGACTCAGATAAGCTTTAAGCATGTGCAAGAAATAGACATGTATAATAAATAAGTAAATTAATACAATTCAGGTGTTATTGTCTCAGTACATGACAGAAGAAAGAAAAAATTTAGCAGAACAACTTGTCTCTTGTCGCCAGTCTCATCATACACAGCTAATAATGTATAGGAGGCAGTTAAGCTAAGCTAAAATTATCTTGACTGATTCCAAATAATTTCAGTTAATATACCAGATTGAGCTGTTCCTTAACTTTTTGATTTGACCCAGCTTAATATTTTTTACAGGCTGTTACTATTTTATGAAAATTAAACTTTGAACTTTCGATTATGTCCAAAAGACTTTCTAATTCTATAGCTGCAACAGGGTCTTCAAAGCGAAAGCATGTTTCAGTGTCCATTGAACAAAAAGTGGAATTGCTGCAAAAAAGATATAGATGGATATAGGTATATCAATCTCAAAATTATGCAAAGAGGATGACATTGTAACGTCAACTGTATATGACGTTATAGGAAAGGAACTTTATTAATTTTATATGGATTCCGATACCCATCTCACAGCGAATAACAGAAAAATGATTCACTATGGGAATGATTTTTCTGCTATTCACTATTTATGCTAAAAGTGATGATCATGACAAAATTATGATTGAATGGGTCAGACAGCGTAGCAGCGAGGGCGTGCCACTAATGGGTCCAATGCTAATGACTCAAGTCAAAATACTTCATGGAGATATGAACTTCAAATTCGACAGACTGGTTAACCAAATTTTAAAATCCCCCGCTATAATGCAATTAAAAATTTCAGGTGAAGAAGCTTCAGTTGATACTGAAGCTGCTAAACTATTTGCAGCAGAATTCATTGAATTCCTTAATAGTGAAACGTTATCCCCAGAATAAATTTACAATGCTGATGAAACTGGTCTTTTCTGGCAATATGTACCATGAAATACCATGCCAACAGAAAAGGCTACAACTGGTGTCAAATATTCAAAAACTAGGCTAGCAATTTTAGCATGTGCAAATGTTGCAGGAACGCATAAGCATAAACCTTCCATAAGTGGAAGAAATACGTGACCTCAAGTATTTTAAGAAGTAAACATTTCCCCCTTTACATATCATGCAAACAAAAGAGCATGAATGACACAAGCGCTAATGTATGATTGGTTTGAAAATTCTTTCACACCCGAGGCTTGGCAAAATTTTGCAAAAATTATCCTCCTTGTAGATAAGTGTTAGGCTCACATTTCACTTAAAATTTTAATGAAAGACATATATCCATGTTATTCTTTCCGCCAAGCTGTACATCCATCATTCAACCTATGAATATCGGAATAGTGCGTGCGCTGAAATGCAAATAAGAAGTGATGAAGATGATATCCGCGAATTTGAAGGTTTTTGGATATCACAAATCATAAGCAAATTTTCCAGTTAATGGATTTTGTAAAGAAATGTTGAGAAGTGGTAATAAATGAAGATGACATAACAGAAGTTTTTTATTTCGATGAAAATTCTCCAATTATCAATCAATTAGCGAACAGCGAAATCTGTACTATGGTTGAAGTTAAAAAAGACACCCAATAGTGAAGAGAGTGACAGAGAGGTTAAAGAAAATGAAAAATTATGATTACTCAGTCGGAATTCTCGACACAGCAACCACAGGACCTGAATAGTGTAACTTTGCATTTGAACAGGAAATTATGTCTGTCCATAGAATTAAAAGTATTAGCACAAAAAAAAAAAAAAAAAAAAAAAAAGAGAGAGAGAGAGAGAGAAAGAAAGAAAATTTTGTTGTAAATTTTCGTATCCTTTAGACCAGCGGTTCTCAACCTTTTGACTAACGCATTCCGTCTGAACAAAAATTGAAAAACTTTAGTACCACCAACACATTTTACAATTTCTCAATAGAAATATTTAAAAAAATAATAACAACCTATTGATTCTTTACATTAAATATGCATACATAAAAAATATTAGATTAAAAACTGGTTACCATTTTAATTATCAAAATTTAAGTTATAATACTTTTAATTCTAAAATTTAGTGTGAAATTTGGGCCTGTTTAAGAGAGATTAATTTCTTATTTCAAGAGAGATCAATTTCTTTATGTCTAGTCTTATTTCATTTAGTTTTATCTGCAAATTAGGATCCACTTTTGATTTTGTTTTGTATTTATTTTTCAAATATAACATGGAAGAAAATTCTTGTTCAACAAACAAGTTGTGCAATAAGGCAACAAAAATTTAATAGCTTTATTTGAAATGTCTTTAAATTCTTTTTTTTCGGTTCAGTCAAAAGTTAACAAATGTGTTATTTTTGAAATCTTCAGTTAGAGTTCGATCACAGGAAATTTTTATCAATTAATGTTTCTCTTCACGAGATAAAATTTCAGGTACACTTGAATAAAATGGATTTCAAAATAATGGCTTTAAATGTCGGATGCTAATTCTTCATTTACTTCCAAATTATTTTCGGTTAGAAAACTTTCTAAAAGTGGTAAAAATGTTAAAGTGTTATTATCCAATTCTTTGATTATTAGCTCGAGTGTTTTAGCATTGCATTTATGTTATCTCTAATGGTAAACAAATTAACACTTTGCCCTTGTAATCCTAAATTTAATTCATTTCATTTTTCAAAAATATTAGCTAAATATGCTAAATGCTTCAACCATAATTCATTAAATAAACATTTTTGCAATTCATCTAAAAATATCAGCTAAATATGCTAAATGCTTCAACCATAATTCACTAAATAAACATTTTTGCAATTAAAATTTTGAATTACAGAGGAAAATTTGAATTTCTGATCGAAGTTCAGAAAAACCATTTAAAACGTTGCCTCTGGATACCCACCTTACTTCGGAATGTAACAAAAGTGTTCCACGTTCACTGTTCATCTCTTGGCATAAAGTCGTAAATATTCTTGACTTCGGCTTTTAATAAAATTAACAATTTTCACAGCTTGATTCAAAACGGTCTTCCGGTTTTTCTGGGACTTTTTTTTGGCTACTAAAGTTTCACAAAGAATTGAGCAATGAGTAAATTTAGTTTCAGGTGTGATTTTCTTTATTTAAGAAATAACAGCAGAATATTTTCCTGTTAAATCCTGAGCTTTATCACTGCATACAACAATGCACTTATTCCAAGTCATATCATTCTTTTCAATTACTTTGAAAATTTCATTTGCAGTTCCTGTATCATGAAGAGATTCACAAAATAAATACCCCTCCACAATTCATTTATCTTCTTTGAAATGTATGTAAACTAATAACAGAACAAAGTTTGTTATATCAGTACTTTCATCCACTTGCAATGTGAAATACTCACTGTACTTTATTTTTTGAATAAGTGTCTCTTTTATGGAATTTGCCATTTCATGAATTCGTCGATTTATTGCATCATTTGAAAACAGAACATTATTAAGTTCATTAGCTGCTTTTTCTTTGAATAATATTAAAACAATATCTTTAGCTGATGGTAATATAAAGTTTTCTCCAATAATGAGAACCTTCTCAGTCTTATCAATTATTGGGCTTATTAGGAAACTAGCTTCCAAAGCTTTTTCACTTGAAGTAACAAAAACCTTTCATTACTTGTTTACTATTTTTGAATTCCGCTAATTTCCTCTTGAATTATTCAGATTTATCCTTTAAACTGGCAAGATGTCTTTTAAGAAGTGATGGTATTATACTTTGACTGGATAATAGTTCAACGCAAACAACACATTGAAGTTGAGGGTCCATTTTATCTCCATTCCAAGTAAACAAAGATGATAAATAACTTTCATTATATTTTCTAAAAACAACTTTTTGTTTATTTTCATTATTCTTAATGCTATATATTCCAATTTTTCAAAAACAAACAACAATATTCTCAAATCGCTTAAAAAAGTAAGGAATATAAAGTAACAATAAGACAAAATACCTGCCATTAGAGACAGTATATTGAGGAAAAAATTTTATTTTAATTGCAAATAGAGCAGTATGAGCCCAAAAATGGTGACAGCATAAAGTGTAGACATGCTAATAAATCAATCAACTGGAATTAATGAGATACTACTATCCTTTTATAGGGACTTATTTTTATTTCCTCATTCAATACAAAATCCATTTCTATTACTCCTTTTGAATACATCATTTATGATAACTTTGTTACGTCTAAAAGAATATTTGTGAAAATTAAAAAGGATTATTTTGCTTAAGTCTATGAGCATCTATTGACATTAACAAAGCTCAGATTGCATAAATTTATGAGTATTAGAGAAAAAACTTAGACAGACTGTTGGGGTATTTAATTTTTGAATTTAATAGTTAAAAATACTTTTTTTCCTTTGCATACCACCTATTTTTCTCTTTCTTTTTATTCAAATATCTTCCACCAGTGGTACACCAACTACTGGTGAAGAATCGCTGCATAGATAAATGCTTCATTATTTCATAAATCATGAGTTCCTATTTTTAATTTTTTAATTTCTATAAGCTGCCCAGATGGTATAGTGGTTAGGGAAGCTTGACTGCAATACTGAAGGGCCCAAGTTCTAATCCCAGAGAAGGCATGGATGTAAAACTGTCTGTCCCTTCATAGAAAATGATGGCCATTTATTAGGTACCTCCACAATAAAATGACCACCCCTTCTGGCCTTAGAAGTGGCCAATGCCATTATAAGAAAGTGCATGCCATTGAAAAAAAGAAAAATTTCTACATGCTACCTTACTAGGTTTAATGTCCAAAATATAAACACAAAACAAAACTGGATTTGTTTTGCAAGTGAATTATTGTCAACAACTTCAAGTTCTCCTTATCACAAAACTGGATATATTATTCCAAGATTTAGAATTCCTGGGCAGACTGCTCCAAATCCTCCAACATTTAATTACCCAACAGCCAAGTTAATGTTACTCTAGATTAATGAACTATTCTAGATAATGAACTTGAAGTAATTTGAATTATACTGATAATTCTGAAACTGCAGAAGATGAAACTTTGTATAATTATTGTCTGCCTCTGAATACTAGTGACCAAATTCATTAAAGTGCCACATGCAATTTTGAAAGATTAGGTAAAGATGTTATGTTTTATGCAGTAAATGCTTACTTAAATTATTTATTACTGTCTTCAACTTGTGCTTAGTGTTTAAATTACAACTTGATTTTTACAAATATGAAATTTATCAGTTTAAGAGTCATGAGTAAAAAGCGTTAACTTAAACTCTCTTTTAATGTCTCTATGCGCTGTCAAATAGTTATCTATAACCCCTTTTCTCTTCTTACAATTCTGTGAATATGTGAAAAGTAAGTTAATCATTAAAGAATACTGGATATGCATCTTTTGTCAACTTAGCTGTATATGTTTAATGAATGTCACTCTAACAATAAAGAAATATTTAAAAGGTCACAACTTCTTCCTTCCTCTAGTATCTAGCTTCCAGCATCATCAGCTATGACAAACTCAAAATTTTCATTTCAAACATAAAAATTTAGAAAGCAGAGACTTTTTCAGACAGGACATTAAAACCTGTTCTAACACATTTAAACAAGTGATGTTCATGGACGAATAAAATACTATTCAGCAAAGACAGCTTCATTCAGATCAATTACGGCCTGCAACCATTTGTGTACTTGCTCTAATAGTCCCTCATTAAAATCGCAGTGACAGAAAAGCACATGAAATACTCATGCTTTATGAGTTACAAAAAGAAGAACAGCCGCAAATGTTGAAAAATTGTGGAGGAAGTGTATCCTAAAGGTGTTTTGAATACTCGCGAGTGCCAATGATGGTTCTGAAAATTTTGACAGGCCAACCTTAATTTGAAAGCTGCCAGATTCACTTGGCACCCAGTCTTTTTTGATAATGATATGATGAAAGTTGCATCTAAGAGGAATCTACATGCAACTGCTGAAGAGTTGGCAACAGAGGTAATTCATCATCAACAACTGCCATTTGATGTAAATTAAAATCATGTCTAAACTTGGAGATAGATTTCAAACGAACTTACTAATACTAATCAAACAGAACGTGTGAACATCTACACTACTCTTCATTCACGTAAATAAAATTTTCTGTCCCCCCCTTTTTTTTAATTGTCTAGATACTTATGATTCGAAGCTTAAAACTTTCATTGGGTGAAGAGACTTTTATTCCAATGAAGTGCTTGAAATGGACTTTCAAGAGTTTTTTCTTAAGCCAATTGATTTTTAGGGACATCATTAAAAAATATTACAGCACTGGAAGAATGTTACTCATTCAAATGAAGAATAAAGATTAAACTAATATCTTTTTTATTCATTTATTTTTATGATTTCTTCAAAACCTATTTCAGAAAATATTACTTGATGAGATGACCTGAAAGGTAAAAGACTAATCTATATGTCTTACATAAAAATTTAAAAAAGGTTGCCCAAAAGAGTTTGCAAAAGATTTTTCACATTCTTGCTAAGCTCACAGTTTACCAATGTGCTGTTACACTCACGCCTACTAACACATTTCTTTTTTTTTTGGGGGGGGGGTCGTTTTAGCTATATTATTAAGCACCATTTTCTTCACACTTGCACCATACATTCAACAGCAAAATTAAAATTTTAAAAGCAACATAGCAGTATATGTTTAGAATTTCTGATGCAGCATTAAGCGTTGGCGTACGTTTTCCCATTTTTTCGGTTCATCATATCAGTGTTTAGTTTTCTTACAAAGGTGGTTTTACTTTTTTCTGTCTTTTTATAATTAACATTTTGCCTGTTAACTTTATTTATCGAATATCGCATTTTGGCGCTTACGGCACATAAAATTCGATTCAACAGCAAAATCAAAAAATATTTAAGAACAGAATGTCTTTAGAATTTCCAATAAACAGTCTTGCGTGCTGGAGATAAAAATGTTTCCCCCCCCCCCGTACAGTGTTGCCACTGCTTGCTTTGAAATCATTGAGTTTGTTAATCAAAAATTCATTAAAATATTACGAAATATGAAATAGATCAAATTCGAAATTTAAAATTCGGGCTTCCAGGTGCCCATATTTGGATGGAGGATTACGTTATTAAAAATTTGATGGCTCTAGGTACCGCTGTTTTCCCCCCCTCAAAGTGCAAGAAACATGCATACATTCATGCACATTCTTCAGTATTCAATTTCTTTAAATATAATACAGGGCAATAATATTTGGTAGCTAAAACATGAAAAGTGATACAACAGATTTAAGTATTTTGATGCAAAATGCCATTTTCAGATTAATATCCCATTTGTGACTAATGTCCTTTTGGGCTTAAAAAAAAAAAAAAAAAAAAAAAAAAAAAAAAAAAAAAAAAAAAAAAAAAGAAGAAGAAGAAGAAGAAGAAGAAATACTTTACTCTGAAATAAAAAATTTTGTACACCTGGATTAATACATGTAATTAAATGTAAAATTTTGAAAATGTAAAATGTAATATATATAATGAAATATTATTAAAGCAGTCTAAATTGCATAAAAGAATTTGCTTAATTGTATGTCTTCTGTTTCCTTACTGTTAAAAGAATTATTTCAAAACTACACATCAAAATTTATTTTTATAAGGATATGCCTATTAACGGTGCATCCATTTCCAGATTTAAATTAATTTTCTGAATAATCTTCACATACAGAACAACAATACTAGATGAAATTTTAAAAAAAATATTATCAGTTTAAAAATTCTTACTTATTAATTAATAAATTATTTCTGTGTCTCCTCAGTTTTACTTGCACACAAAAAACAGATGTTACATATACAATCCTTTAATTAAAAAATATACAAAACATAATAAAATATTCAAATTTATTCAAGAACTAAAACTCACCAGGCATTGGGCTTGTTAACTTTGGAAAATCATCAGCTTTTTCTTGAAGGTCTTTAATAAGCTGAAGAAAAGCATCATGCTCATTATTACTTTCCTTGTCATTATCTAACTGTGGGTCTTCAATTTTTAACCGTTGTAAATATACAATATTTGGAGTATTAACTTGTGTTATACAGACAGGGAATATATGGCCCTCTATCAAATCTGTGGCTTTTAAAAATGCTGTGTGCACCATGGTATTATTAGTCTGTTTAGAAAAAAATATATTAAGCAACTATTATACTATTAAAATTATATTTTTGCTTAAAAACAATGAAATCAAGCACAGTTATAAAAAAATTTAAAACATTCATTAAAAGTTTTAAAATCATTATTATTTTTTTACAATATTGGAAACTATTTCATTTTTCAGCTAGCATACTCTATCACATCTACTTACAAGATAAGTAACTAATTGATGTCTTCATTAAAAAATTCAGAATTGTGCCCATGCAATTGAAAATTATAATTTATCACAAGAAATAAAGCATATGTACAGAGCCGTAGCTAGGGATTTTAGAGCTCGGGGACAAATGGAGATTTTGCATCCCTTTCTACGGGCCAAAAATGGAAAACCTTTCATTCTAAATTTTGTAACATCAATTTGGGGCTTTCTGGATACTGCGATCGGGGACAGATGTCCCCCCTTGTCCCATCCTAGCTACGCCACAGCATCGGTACTGCAAATGGAGATTTTGCATCCTTTTCTACCGGCCAAGAATGGAAAAACTTTCATTCTAAATTCTGTAACATCAATTTGGGGCTTTCTGGATGCTGCGCTCGGGGACAGATGTGACCCCCTTGTCCCACCCTAGCTACGCCACTGCATCAGTACTGCAAATTAAGAACAACAATTCAAATTCATTGCATTTGTTTATTTATTTTTATACATCTCAAAAAGGTGATTAATGTTTTTGGTACGCAGATTTTCTATCTCAACAAAATAAAAAGTATTGCCACTTGAGGAAAAACACTTTTTCATGACTTACACATAAGTGATCCAATTCTTAAACTAGTAAGCAAATCATAACTTCTTGGTTAAAACTGTTTTCAGATGCGAAATTGAAATCAGAATACCAAAATCAAATAGTACTTTTTTTTTTTTAAATAAGCAGAGTGTTCCTGTATTTGACTGACAAATTCGGAAGGATGATAGTAGGCAGGACGAAAAATTACCATTTAACATATTGTGACCCCCATGTTAAATGGTAATTTTTCATGTTTAGTGTTTTTCAATTTTTCATGTTTAGTGTTTTTTTTAGTGTTTAGTTTTATTTTTCATGTTTAGTGTTTTTCAATTCATGTTTAGTGAGTGAAAATCGCAAAAAAATAGGTATCGAGAGGATAGTGGTCCTGACAAAGAGAGTGGATAAACAACTGCAAGGATCAGGAGCATTGCGGTCAAGAAGAAGGAACTTTATGTAAATTTTCAATGCATATGGGGGGAAAATAAAAGCAGTGAGCAAATATTCCTTATTTGGCATTAAACTTAATTTGGAAACAGCATGTCAGATTACACGAGCAAGGAATATGTGGATAAGCATGATTTACGGGCAAACATGTGGCAATAGAGACTTAGCACAGAGGATGTACCAACAGCAATATTACAGAAGGCACTGTCCACATCATACAACCTTCACGAACATCAATCAGTGTACACAAAACACGAGGCGTCAGCAATAGCAGTACAAGGCAACTTAAAAAGATGACAGGAAGGTACATTTCCAGGTATTCCTCTGCAAGTCAAAGTGAGATTGTATGTGCATTATGGTTACAAGAAAACACCAGGATGCCTTTAACATACACAAATGATTGACAAGCTTGAGGAGAGGTGTAGATTGCTGTCTGTCACCCAAGGGTTTGGAACAGATAAAAGTGTTGTTTCACAAACATGAAAATCTTTCCAAATGACAAGTACAGTTGTAAGAAAGGTTGGTGGTGGCTGTCCAAGGACAACAACAATGATTGATGACCAATATATTGCACTGCAGACGAAAAGAAATCCAACCACCAGACAACACTGCTCAGAAGTGGTGCATAGCAACCAAATAACAAGAGTCTTGGTTTACTGTGGGTGGATGACTTCATAAATATGGCCCATTTGTCTGTCAACCTGATTGCTGATAACATTCACAGCAGAGCAGAACATTAATACTGGATACCTCTTCAGTGGAGTCATGTCCTCTTTACCAAGGAGTGCTGTTTCACTCTGGCAAATGATTCTAAGTGCCATTTGATATGGAGCGATTTGTGGCAAAAAAGATAAATTGAAGCCAGACACTTTTTTTTTGTACGATGATGCTAAAAAGAAAGTTGATCTATCTGACCAAATAACTTCATATTGTAACTGTTTACGGAGAACAGTGAAGTGGTACACAAAAATTTTTATACAGCTGATATGCGGAACTTCTCTCGGGAATGTGTGGTACGTTCATAAAAAATGAGGAACTAAGCACATCAGAATTTTAAAATTTACAGAAAAAATTATTGATCATCTGTTAGTGGATGTTGTGAATCCCCCGTAGTGAAATAATAATAACAAAAAAGGAAAAAAAAAAAGTTTTAAATTCATACGAAGGATACGCGAGGAAGATGAGAAAGTAATGCAAAGAATGCTATAAATGCTTAGCAAGCCTAAAAGATACACAGTATACCACGAATAGAACAAAGAAAGTAACAATATATTGCAATAATTGTAAGGGAAAGCCTGCACTTTGTTTAACCTGTTTTAAAAAATTAATAAGTTACATTTTAAGTTATTGTGAATAAGTTTAATATTATATTTAAGTTCTATTGAATGTTTGATTATAAGGTTGAAATGTTAATGTATACCATTGAATAAAAGCAAGACCCATCACTGAGTTAGGCCACCTTGCGGAACAATCAAGCATGACCTACGGTTGGGTCATGCTGCCCCTCGGCACAGACAAGTATGACCCATGGTTGAGTCAGGCTCAACATGTCAAGTCAGGCTGGTGTCAACATGTTAATTTGAGGGAGAATTATAATAGCAGACATAGTTTCCCCCTTTTTTATTTCAAGTCTTTGTAATCTCAATATTAAAGCTCGGCAACTTTTAAACAAAATTCTCACACCACATTTAACAGGCACAGAAAATGCACTTTCAATAAGTTACATGTTATTTTATATTATTTGTAATATAAACAAAACCAGATCTGCAGTGTTAAACAGTTAATATGCATTAGCATAAAAATTAGCAGGCTTACTGCTCATGCCAATATGGGAAAGTCAAATAATAATAATAATAATAATAATATAATAATAATAATAATAATAATAATAATAATAAATAAAATACTAATAAAAGGAAAAGAAAAGAAAATCTGAAAGCTTTGAGATTTTACATTATGCCCAAAGTTTTTTTTTAAAAAAACATTTTGTGTGTTACCTTTATTTATTAAGTATCCTGTTTTTCGCACGTAAACAATAAAATCCAATTCAACAGAATTATTGCAAAATAATTTTTAAATGAGCGTATCTTTCGAATTTCCAATACACAGTCTCGTGCAATGGAGATACAAATGTTTTCCCCGTGCAGTTTTTTCATTGCTTGCTTTGAAATCGTTCAGTTTGTTAATCAAAAATTCATTGTTAAAGTATTACAAAATATGAAATAGATAATAAAACAAATTTCAAATTCCAAAATTGGGCTTCCAGATGCCCATATTCAGGTCTAGACGTACGTTATTAAAAATTTGATGGCTCTAGGTACCGTTGTTTTAACACAATGCGAGAAACATACATATATTCTTGATTATTTAATTTCTTTAAATATAACATAGGGCTCTAATATTTGGTTGCAACAATTTCAAAAGTAAACCGACATTTTTAGGGAACCAATGCAAAATGCCAAAACAAAATTAATAGCCCTTCCCTAAAAAGGATGCAATGTTGAGTTCTACATTTTATGATTTTCACCAGAAGAAGCATGATAATAAAAAAAAGATGCTTGTTGAAAAAGCTTATACTGCCAGCTTTTGGATATTTACAGCCTACAACAACAACAACAACAACAACAAAGGGAAAAAAAAAAAAAAAAAAAAAGATATTATAGTCAGATTCTTTACATTGATAAATCATCTATCAACAGCAACCTAATATTTTTAATAAAGATTGAATCAAATCATCTTGAAGTATTTAATGACTAAGATCAGCCTTCTTGACCACCAGATATCTATCTTATTGAAAAATTAAAGAGTCATCCATCAACAATTGTGGCATCCTATCTGACGCTAGTAAAAGGTGTGGAATACTTTTTCCCTAAAACTGTTTCAAAATATGTATGGTTATTTTGAAAAAGAAAAAGTTAATATAAAATCTGTATTAGTAACTATAATTATTTAATTCAAAATATATGTTAAATAATTGCCTAATTAACTAATTTCTTTAAATTTTTTATTTATAAATTTTTAACACCGTATAACTTACTGAAATATCTGGGGTTGTAATTCTTGAGGAGCTGCTACTAGAAGATTCTGAAATAGGCACTGCTGAGCCCATACTTATTAATAAATCAGCCAGACTCAAACCAGATAATGTTACTATTTCGCACTGCAGTCTTCTGTTTTTATCAGCAGAAGCCTGAAATTTTCAATCATTAGTATTTTAGAGACCAAGAAACACAATTTCTTATTTTATTATCAGGTTTTATACAAATATGACAATTATTATTAATTAAAACAATTAAACACCCTAGAAATAAAAATCATAATGTCAGTGCAGTCATAGAAAATCTCTTTATACTGGCTAAGAGCTTTTATACTAAAATAATAAGGTGGCTTGTGATTATTTTGTTCCAACAATGCAAACCACATATGTGCATTTAACATTTGCATCACTACCTATATAACTTAATGAAATGCATACACATCTTTAAGACAGCATATTAAAAACAAAAAGGCTGCAAGTATAAATTGGTATCAGCTTTTGGAACTAATATAAAAAATATGTCTTTTTCACAAGCCCCCCCCCTCCAAAAAAACTTTCAAATTATAAATCTAAGAAGTAAGACAGTATAACAACATACCCATAGCTGCTAACTTTGAAATGTCAGAAACTGTGAGGTTTTGAGGCTTTTCATAATTCAAAAAATACGAAAATTGAATATGGTATTTCATTTTATTTAGTTTTCATGTCATGTCGTAATTTCAGAGGGGTTCCAAATTGAGAAATTTGATTTATAATCACTTTATAATGCATCATTTGATTAACTAAGCTAGCTTCTCATACATTTCTCCGGTCCCTGTACCCATGTTAAAGAAAACGTTATACTCCTTATAAAAAATAAAACACAAAAGGTTTGATTCCCATACAACAAAAAATAACCAAGATATTATATATTAAAGTCGCGCAGCATGTTCATGGGTCATGTACAAAATGAAGAGTGAAATGTTTTCATTTGCATATAACTAAAAATAAAATATCAGTTTAGAAAAAGGTTTCTCATGTTATGTGATTAAGGGATGAGCACTTCTATGCAGATTATTGTGAAAAGTATTAATAAATATAAATTATTTTCAAAATGGAGATCCCATTCGCATAATCTTAAATTCATGTTCTAAGTACAGATACATAGCAAACTCATAATATTATTTGCAGAAATTCAGACCAAAAATTTTTTGTAGAATTATTAGATTATGATTCTAAAGCAATGGTCGGCAAACTACAGCCTGTGAGCAAAATTGCATCTGTGGGATGATTATATTTTTTATATGGAAAATAAATCATATTATGCATTATTATGCAATGGCTGATAGTTGAGTTGAAAAGTTGTAAATAGTGATCGCGAGTAACACTACTGCCATGTCTCATAGCTGTCATCATTTTTAAAAGCATTCTCAACAAGCGAGTATTTGTTCATTATGCAATGGGTGAGCACATATGAAGTTTTACTCTGGCGGTGTGTGTGGTATCATCTACCAAGGTAATCTGCGACATTTGTTTTTATTTTATTTTATTCATAACCTACAATTACCAAGCTACTATCAAAATCAAATAAGGAGAGAAAAATAGACTTCGATTGTCATGCTCTTAGTGCAGAATGGAGTGCCAATTTTATTGTCAAGTTTTATGTTTAATATGCAATGACATAAAGCTGTGAGACAAGAGTACAGTTTATGTTGTCATAACACAAGTAAGCATGTGCTATGATATTTAAACCTCAAAGAAAATGAATCATTCATTAAAATTGGGTGGTTTAAAACAGAATGTGTCATCACAGCATAATTTATTCATAAAAATAACATATGAGAATGTAGCAAATTACTAAAGTCAGCCTTTGAATAGCTCAGTTATAAGCCGCAAAAAGAAAACCAATTACTGATGGTGAATTGATGTACAACGGGAAAAGGATTAGTTGGACAAATTTTTAAGGGTTGTGAAGATGCTAAATGTTTAAAATCTCTTGTAATTAATTGTATTATTCACCAGCAAGCTCTTTGTGGGAAAACACCTCTATCTGTCATGTGTTATTGAACCAGTTTTATCAGAAGTAAACTTTATTCACTCTCGTGGACTTAACCATTGCCAGTTTTGAGAATTTTTATTAAAACTAAATATTCTGACTTAACCTTATCATACAGCTGTTCAATGGTTCAGCAATGGGAAAATTTTATTGAAATTCTTCAAACTGAGAAAGCTCATAGGTATTTTTTTAAACAAGAAAAATTGCCCACAACCTTTATTGTCGAACAGTGAATAGCTAAGTGCTTTGACATAGACATTGTGAGATATTGCAACAAATTCAATTTAAAATTACAAGGGAAAGCAGTATTCATATGTGAAATGAATTATATAGTAAAGAAATATCAATATAATTCATTTCACATATACAAAGAAATATAAAGAAAATTTGCATTGTTTGAAATACAACAACATTAAAAAATCTGACCATTGTCTATGCTGTAAAAAATTTCAAACATTAGCAAAATACCCATTTAAAAAAAAGGGGGGGGAGATATATTTTCTGAACTTATACTATAGTTACAGCAATGTATTGTGGATATTTATGAAAGTACAAAAGATATTTAAATGATTCAAAATCCACTTGACTGTGAAGTATGTAAAATCGCAATCCAGATCATTATTAACAGATGACCATTTGCAAACAACTTTAATGGTACGAAGTACTAATTTTGAACTCCAGTATGAGGAAATATCATCTGAGAAAAACAATTAAATTCTTCGCATCAGAAATTTTAATCTATTAATAACAACACTTGTTAACATGTAAATGCAAATCTTTTATTCTTGTAAAATGTGCATAAATATCATTTTATATACCCCCCCCCAATGAGAAAATTACTCATTTATATCTTCATATCTGCTACTCTTCATTCAACCAAAAATTTTTACAATCTGGCCTCTTCTAAAAAAAGTTTGCCGATCATGTTTTAAATTATTAAAACATACTTTACACATTGAAAATGTATAAATTACTTAAGCAAAAATTCTATTAGCCTACCAAATGTAATAAAATTATAAGTAAATACATTAGTAAATCACAAAAGATGCCATTGAATAGCATCTTTTGTGATTTACTAGTGTATTTACTTATTTAATGGCCTCTATCATGAGGGGGAGGGGGAATTATTCTAATTTGTGAAATTCTAACAGAGGTGGAATTATTCTAACTTGTACATTAATGTCTCAATGCTAATTGAAAAGGATGTCAAAAATCACATATTCTGAGGGGGGAAAAATACTCGGTCAACTTTTTTCGTACAGAAGTCAAACTTTTTGCCTTTTATTTTTAACATTTAAAATACTCTTGTAACTGGACGAATATGTCTACAACTAACAGTTGTAAAAATAAAGGTCTGGTTAGAACTTTTGTGGATATGGTCAGATACACATATACTTATATAATTTTATTGTGATGAAAAGCTTTTATTTATAAGAGATTTTAAACACAATAAAAAGAAAATTGACAGTTAATTGCATATAATCCTGAGGCTAAAGTTGATGAAGGATTTTTAGATTAAAGTAAAATGAAATACTAATAGTCACTTATTAAATTTTCATTAAATCTTCATAAATGTTTTACAGATTTGTATGATGGATTAAAACACATCAAGCTGAATAAAGTAAAAAAAAAAAAAAAAACACAATAAATTCACTTGGAAAGAAAGTATAATTTGCATAATTTTAAGTTTCATTCAGTGATACAATGCCATTGCCTATTTTAGAAACTCACTATCAAAATTTTCTTCACAGCATTTGTATTTCCCCTCAACATTTAATGATCAATAATTCTTCTAAAATTAAAGTGTGATTTAAATTTAATTAAATTTAAAATTGGGAGATTGGCAGGTTGAATAAATTGCAATTTAATATAAAAATTAGACACTTCCATTCAAATAAAAACTTCCTTTAAATTCTGCAGGGTGATCTATAATGATTAGTTAGATGATATAAGTGAAATTAGATTGTAAATTAATGATCAGAAAGCAACACATATAAATTACTGTTTTTAAACCTTGAGATAATTTCCTTTTAGGCCCATATACACGGCGTTTGTTTCACACGAACAACTGTTTCGGACAATTTTTCTGTCTGGTTTACTATTGAAAGAAAGACGTGCGACTTTTTCCTTCCTTTCGAAAAAAGTTGCAAGTTGTTTGTTTTCAACCAATCAGCTATTGGCTTGTTTTGTAATGGAGAACCAGTTTCCCCTGTGTTAACCCCAAAGCGAGCTGTGGTGATTGGCTGTTGTGACAAAGCAGAAACAAACCTACGTGTGATAGCAGCCTTAGAAGCCCTGCACACCTTCCTAATATACCTAGAGCACTTTGCCATATATAAATAACATGACATAACTCTGCTTTCAATCATAACTATGAAAAGAATTTGACAGGCAAACAGCAATAAGTGACACAGTCTAAAATTTTTTTAATAATCTATTAGCTAAATTACTCTAAATGACCCCTTTCAAATTTAGAAATACTCATACATGTCTAGACAATTAAATCTGCCTCCCCCCAGCTTACCAAATTGTTCATACATATTCAACAATATTTTTTTAATTCCTTCAAGTTAAATACATATGTATGCATATTGTACTACCATATTCAAAAGTTGCATTATGTTAAGATGAGTACCAATATATGAATGATAAATTTTTGCAGTGACAGATTTGCAAGTGCATTTGTTAACATTTACACTTTCATATTACACAGTGTTAGGAAATTTGCATTTCTCCTTCGCGGCCATGCTGTGCCGAAAAAGTTATAGTCCTGTGGTACAATGCAAGAAATAGGGTAAAGATTATGTGTCTTCCCAACGTGCCTTATCGACATGGCCAACAGCCGTGAATCATTCCAGGATGGTGTGGCAGTTTCAAGGAAGCATGGTGTGGTGATTTTTATGGAAACCTACAGTGGAATATAGCTGTGGAAGACTAGATTGTAACAGCAATCTAGCACAGTGTTCCGGATAATTTACTACATCACCAAGTACCTGCCTAACTAAATGAACTATCAGGTAGGCTCATGTGTTATTATAAATAAGTTAAGTATATTTACTGTTATTCATCATGTGGTTTTACTAATGTGTCACAGTCTGACATGATATATTCATCTGTT